GTGCATCTACTGTATGTGCTTGGGAGGAGATGGAGAAAGACATAAAAGAGAGGAGAGTGAGCGAAGGTGTGAGGGGTGGGGGGGGGGATTGACCCTCCCCCTTACTTTCTTGAGTCCCTCAGGACAGGAGGCTTGGAGAGCCAGATCAGATTTCTGATCTCGACCGTTTCCTGCAGCATATGAAAACAAGTGGTCTAAATTGCCTTGTGTGATAACCAGGAAGTGGCTACACTTCTGCCACCAGCCATTTTTCTACATGTAACTCTGCATGTGTTTCTAGACGGCTGGTTTGTGAGAGACAATCACAAGCTGTGCAATGCTTCTTATTGATTCTAAATGCACGCGACAGCCTGTGAGGGCTTTACTCGCTTACTACTTTTGAGTGAGTGCGTGTGGGTGAATGTGTGTGTGTCTGTATTTTATGTGTAATTTGAGTCTGTCCCCCCTCTGCACATAGCTCACTGTCAGGACACAGCAAACTGCATGTATTACACAGACTAAGGAGGATGGGTTTGAGTAATGAGCTTTTCCTTGTCCTAATTAGCTGAACATGAGAGGGATGCGCACACACACATATACACAGACACATACACACACACACACACACACGCCTACCAACAGAATTAGGCCAGGGCCCATCTCCCCAACCCACTTTGAGGAAAATGATAAGATTTCTATTGTAATTTAGCAGCGCTGCTCGTGTCTTTGCCCCCTCTTTACACCTACAGAGACACCTCCAACATGAGAAAAACATTCATCTTGATCTCCACTATAAAGCAGTGGCCACATAAAAAAAGAGAGTTGTAGCTGGGTGTGTTTTGTCTTACCTGCACATGATCTCATGGGTCAACAGAACCCGACACATCTCTGGATTTTTATCCTGGCCCTCATAGACAATTGCCTGAGGACAGAAGAAAATAACAGAAAATTCAAATGAAAATGATTTAGATTTTTTTATGTGGCATGCTGGAAGGGAAAAAAAGTCAACCACGATGCAAGCGCAAATAAAAAACACAAGAGTGTGTGTGTGTGTGTGTGTGTGTGTGCGTGTGTCTTTCATCTGGGAGTAGTGTTGTCAATCTGGCAAATGTGTGTATCGTGGGAATCCAGTCCTCCTGAACAGGAACGCTCTGTTCCGACAGAGACAGTAACAGAGAAATTGTGTGTGTGTGTGTGTGTGCGTATGTGTTCCCACGCGTGCGTGTGTACTCCTGCGTGTGCATTTGTGTTTGTGTGTGCACGTGTGTTTATATGCAGTGTACAGTGAGCAGTTGGACTGCCAGACTGGAGTATAGTGCACCATCTGGTCCATACAGCACAGCGTCCAAAAATCTAGTCTGGTTACCCCTCCAACCCCACTCAACATGCTCTCCAGGGCTGTGATCACCCTGCACACACACACACACACACACACACACACACACACACACACACACACACACACACACACACACAGAGCGATAAACATGCAAACACACACATTCACACATCTATGTGCACAACATCCCCTCCTACTCCTTTCATTCTAAGGCAAACTCTCTTCAAGCCTAATGGCACTAGAGGCAGAATTGGCAAAACAAAAGACCTGATATCAAAACAGCATTGAAGAGGCTTATTTTCTTCGTTATCTAATTCATCCTAACGGAGAATTCCCTCAGTGTGCGCCAGCCCACATGTGCTGCTCTGTATTTCTTTGTGTGATTGAATTGGCCATAACACACTCTGGGATAGTTTGTTCTGTTTCACATTGAGGAAATGAGGGTCAAGGTCCTCAAAGAGTGAGCTGGCATGCATCACTGTCCCTCCCAAACACTAACACAACTGCGTCTGCACCTCACTGAGATATTCACACACTATATGTGCACAATCCCACAGTCTCACACGCCGCACATACACATCTATGCTGCCTGACGCTTGTAAAAACACACATTCACACCCACAAACACACACAAACACACACACACACACACACACACACACACACACACACACACACACACACACACACACACACACACACACGCCATCCCCACTTACTGGCTGCTGTGCAGAGGCAGAGTATGAGGACACATGTCCTCTACTTTTCTGGGCCTCTGTAAATGTATTCCACAGGTAAGACAGGTCGTTTATCAAGGAGGCTGTGCTGTGCTGAAGTTGAGGGTCTCAGACACAGGCAAGCAGCAGGGCGAGGGGGGTGGGGGGGTGGGGCAGTGAGGAGGAGGAGGAGGGCGGCTGGAAGTGGGGGCGACATTCAGACCAACACAACAACAGAACTGATGCAGAGTTTTAATTCTGTGTCTCTTACCTGTTTAGTCATAGAGTCAATGAGACGAACATATAAGTCCTGCTCTGTCCTGATCCCTGCAGAGAGTGAGAGATAGAGAGAGTCGTGGTTAAAATGGAACTCACAGATTTCATGTCACATCTGAGGGGATATTTCAGATCACAAGGTTTATTCATTCTGACTTCCCCAGTGAGGCACTTTGAGAAAACTGAATGAGTCCAAACTCTTACTAACGACTTTCAGTATCTGTTGCAACCAGTTTGCTTAGAACTAGAAAATTAAATTCACTGTTGGTTTTATCTCGCTAAAAAAAATCTAATGGCAACTTAATTTGTGAAAATATTCACAGCAGGAAAAACCCCACTTTTTTTTCCTAATTTAAAATCAATATAATTTAATTATTCAATCAAGACACCAAGACTAAGAAATAAACATTAAAAAAGAAGATGGGAAGCATTTGATTTTGCTGCCTTGGTTTGTACACTGCTGCTAAAGTAGGCTGACCAGAGAAGATATGTTTACTGTAGGAAGCAGCAAGAACAGCATAATAATAATAATAATAATAATAATAACAACAACAATAATAATAATAAAAATAACAATTATTATTATAATTATTATAATAATTATTATAATTATAATAATGTTTTGCAAATAAAAGTATGTGTAACATAACATGTATCAACATTTAAAGCATTTTTCGAAACAGATAAAACTCTGATCCTTCACGAAAACAATCCAGTTAAATAATTAAAAGACAAAGATGAAGGATCTGAGCCTGTAAAACGTTTGTTTCCTAAGTTCCCTCACTTTGCTTTGGCGTATCATTCACTCACTGCTTTTGTTACTGCTCCATAAAAATGATGGAATCTAAACTCACCGTTACTGTAGAGCAGCTGAAGTCTATAATGGATCCCATTGTTGGTCTTTTCCCCCGTCGTTTCCTATGAAAATTAAACCAAACAGACCCGGTCAGAGCAAGCAAACCATCTCCTCCTGGGACTTTTACTGCGCCTCCTCATACTGGATATTTTTAGGTTACTAACATGTTGTGCCCCTCTAACTGTGATAAGACTGAAATCACTTCACTTCGTTTCTATCATCCACACAACCAGAGGAAAGAAAAAAAATATTCTGTTTGCAACTTGAACAACTTTTTCTTTGTCATTTGACGAAATATATTCGGTAAAAGCAACTTCTTAATCATTTGATATTATATATAATATCAATATAAAACACTTTCTTGACAAAATAAACGCAACTTCATTCACCTCTACTGGAAATGCAAAATGTTTCGAATGTTGCTACAGATATTTAAATAAATATATACAAATGCCTAACGTGGCATTTTTAATATTTCTTTATGCAATAAATCACAGCTTTGTATTTCAATGTGCTATTCATACTGACCAAAAGTAGAAGGACGTTTGGACATAATTATTAATAAACAAGCCGATAGAGGCTAAAAGCTGACGATGAATAAAACAAACATCTAAAAGCTGTTAACGCCACTTGCAAACAGATCAATATTAGAGTTGATCGACGTATCAAAACATTAATATTGATGGGTGTTTAAAAAAATGAAATATGTTGACTGACAGCACCTGCAGGAATAGGCTACACGCTGTGCTGAACTGTCATAAAAAATAAGAGTCAGTAGCATTAGTGGCAACTGGGTAAAAGTTTCTTTTTATGCACTTGATTTACACATGAGTGTAAACAAGTTTAAATTTGATTTAGAAGGTTTTGTAATTATGAAGAAAAGCAAAAATAATTTGAGGTGTGTAAGTCTTTCAGGAAACCACATGTAAAAATCACATCAGGGAAGCCTTCAGGACCACTGATCCCTGCTGAGTGCGTCTGGCCACTTTGTTAACACACGTCTGGTAATTTATCACTGTGACTTAACAGGCCAGAATAATGTGTCAGTCATCAGCCAATGCGCCGCTGCTATTTATACAATACAAGCTCATTTCTACCGTTTGATTATAAAGTGTCATAAGGTGAAGATATTTTTTTGGGGAAAGGTACAAACTCACCTTTTCCTTCTCTACAAAGTCAACGAAGGTGGTTCTCTCTATTTCCACCGGCTGACCCTGTCTGTCGTATAAAGCCAGGACGAAGTGGAAGAAGTTGGACTTTCGGAGGTTGGAGGGCGGCTGCTTCTCGAAGTGTGCCCGAGCAAGACCCACTCCGCTGCGGACACAAGCACAAACCAGCAGCGCCCACAACGACAGCGATTAAAATAAATTAAATTCAATAATAAAATGCAAACATAAGAGAAAGACTTTCTTTTAAAATCCAAGCTCGTTTATGTTACAACCACTGTCCATGATAAAATCCGTAACTACTCAGCCTATAATTTAATTAAAACCTTTCTCCTGCGCACAAACACACTTTACAGCTTAATCAGCAGCAATTATACAAATCTGATAAAATATTAAACTTTAGCCCTAAATCTGTTAAATATACTAATTTATAATGCAAGCATAAATTTGACAGATCAGTTCCTGTCACGGTGGTGGGCCTGCAGTCGATGAAAGAGTGATTATTTTCATTTTAAACCTCACCAACTTAATTAAAAGTCAATCTTTTTATTTTATTTTGTAAGAAAAAACTGCTTAATTCAACCTTGAATTAATATTTCCGCCTGCAGTCTATGAAAACTAACCCAGTCTACTTGATCACAGCCACAAAAAAAAGAAGAAAAAAAAGAAACAACCACCGAAGTGAGCTGAAAATCCCTAAACACAAACTCACAGCTCACTTTCCACACAGCAAAGTTAACCTGAGCTCACATTTAAACCCTGAAAGCCTAAAGGTGCTTTGAGACAGCGGTGCTCTCCGTCCAGAATTGTGTTAACCCACTTTGTGCCTCATACAACATTCAATCATATTGTACTTTGAGCTAAAAACTTATAAAGCCAGCGGGAACAGAGGTTATCCAACAACTCTACGTCCTCTGGGAACGCATGCTGCCCCAAGTGATGCAGCTTTAGCTCCGTCTTTAACACCGCAGATCTTAACGTGCTCTCCCCCCGGTCTCCACGCCCCGGTGGCAGCGCAGCGCCAAGGCCGCCTCAGGCTCACCTCTGGGCGGCTGTGTTGGCGTCCAGCACACCGGCGCCCTGCATCCATGTCCGAACTGCGTTCATCCCGGCCACCATGGGCTCTTCTTTCATACTACTCCCACTCCTCTGGATGCTCTCGTGGATGCCAAACATCAAAACGCACCTTCACACTGTCGTTATCTCTCTCTCACTCTCTCTCTCTCCTCTCTCTCTCTCTCTATCCTCCTCTCCTTGGCTCCCTCCTTTTTTTCTCTCTCCTCCTGCCTCCCCTCCGCTTGCGTCTGTTTGATCGCGCTGTCAGAGGAGCAAAGTGGCGTGGTCTATTTCACTTGGCGTTTAGTTGCGCGTGTGTTTCTCAAAGTAAACAAAAGATGCGGCATGTGGAAGGAAAAGGGGAGCTGTCAGCATCCAGGGTTAGCTGCACCTCATGTCAGCGACTCCAGAAGAAAAAAAAAAAGAAGGGGGAAGAAGGCAGCAGCTATGAAGATGAACAACGTAAGAGCGATGAAAGGGGAAGCGCAGGATGAGAGGCTGCACTGAGTTGGCGACAGTCCCCCGGATCAAGGTGCAGCTGACAAAAACACAAGCAAAATGTCAGTTTCTGTAACAAAACAGTCCACAGTGAGAGAGAAAGCCAGGAGATGAAACACGTTTCACCCTCCTTTCGCTCCGCTTCTTTATTTACAAAGTCCTCTCCTCTGGTTCAGATGAATGAAACGGAAGATTACGCGCAATTAAGAGGCAGTCCTGGGCAACGGCGGCTCCGCTCCTCGTCAGCTCCTGCTCGGGTGATTTGCGCTCTTTTCTTCCCTGAGGAATCACTTTGGACCATCTCTGGGATGCCAAACAGGAGAGAACTAGTAGGTGAGGGAGGCGTGGTCTAAACGGCGAGCAGGAACGCCCCCCAAACACAGTTAATAACACGGACAATCACTTGTCCACCAACCCCGACCAGCACGGTGCCCGCCCGCCTGCCTGCTGTCCCCGCCTCGTCCCACGCACTGTCCCGCCCCAGCCACTTAGAAGCTGTGCGCGGTGTGCGTGTGTGTATGTGTGTGCGCGCGCGCTCATGTATGCCAGTGTGTGTGTGTGTGTGTGTCTGTGTGCGTGTGTGTGTGTGCGTGTGTGTGTGTGTGTGTGTGTGTGTGTGTCCGTTGTAACTTTTTACAATTAATGTATTCTCAACTATCAAACATCAACTGAGTTTAATCCACCCAGTTTGCCAACAGACTAAAGGGCAGAGTGAAGTGGAGAGCCGCGCAGGTTGTAACATCTATCGCCTGTTTGAGCTGCGTTGTCACTGGAGCTGCAGCTATGAAAATGTGTCCGCATCTGTCTGCAAAACGAGACGAAACAGAATCCGATCACAGTTTTAAACGCGCGTCAGATAAAACACATTTTCTCTCTCATTATTGTGAGACAAAAACGCGCAGGGAGCACAGTGAGAGGGATGAATATTTTGAGGAACAGCTGCAACATTTGTGTGCAGATTTAACTGTATTTACTTATGCGTATTTGAAAATTTTGAAATTACTTCAAACTCATCACATGAACGTCCGTTTTTTTTTTTTTTTTTAATTTTCCACATTGCGCATGGGCGTTACTACACGAACCACCTTTCAAGAAACACAAAAACTGACTTTATTTGAATAGAAAATGGAATTTAAATGTTGTATTTTCTCATAAGAGCTGAATCAACTGTGTCGAGCAGTCCAAGTGTTCATTCAGAGTATCAACTCATGGCAGATTATGAGCTTAAGAAAAGTTTCAGCTCACCAAAAAGCCTGGCAGCCGCTGCGCACATTTTTCTGTTACAGCCCGATGGTTTGAAATTAGCTTTGATTAGATGCATTACATAAATCTTGCGGGACTAAGTGTTGAATCCAACATAAATATGAGGATTACTGCTAAACTGTGTTCTGTCCCGCTGTCCAAAAAATTGCAATCACTCAAAAATATCAAGACAAACAAAAAAAAGTGTAACAAAAAAAAAAAAGAAAAAAAAAACAATTTGCATGGTTGTTCACAGTAGCATGAAACTGCACAAGCGGGTTCACTTGCATGAAAACTGTTTTTAAGTCCATCTTGCAGAGGATGTTGCAGCTCTCATCGGTCCAGGTTTCCCCCTCATCATTATGGAGTAATTTCTAAATTATCAAATTGAATTGTCTGGGGGCCATCTGTTCAATAAGTACTGTTTGGTTAATTGTAATGAAATGGAAAGAATGAGAGAGTCGTTTTTTTGTTGTTGTTTTTTTTTTTTTTTTATCAGGAAGGCATCTTTGAAAATTAAGATTTCCATCAAGATTTCTTTAACTGAATCAGCTTGACACGTTGATGTTGCTTGGGATTGCACGTCGGGAAAAACTGTACCATTAAAAGCCTAAAAAATGATTTAAAATTCCAACAAAATTTTCACAATTTTGCGCCATGGTGTAGAATTATATTGTTTGTAATTATAATAACCTAAAACGACACTTACTGTCATTTTAGCAGTGGTATGACTTTTTTTTTTTTAAAAATTACACATATATCCCAATCTACTGTGCAGCCTGCAGACTGAGACGTGAGTGTCTCAGCCAGTTGCAGAGTCTGATAAATGCCATAAACGGTCAAGGTTAGACACCAAACCCCCGCAATCGTCTCATCATTGTCTAAAGCTGTTTATTTATGTCTCCTGCTGTGGGAGGAGAAATGTGAGCACCCACGTGAGTACACGATACAATAAATAGTGATAAATAAAAGCAACGTGAGATAAAATGTCTCTCATACTAACACTGCCTCAGGTTTACCCACATACATACATACATACATACACACACACACACACAGACACACACACACACACACACACACACACACACGTTCAGAGTTATCCTTCAGCACATTTGTTTGATTGTGGCCGGGTCTCTCGCCATGATCTGTCTGCCTTGGTCGGCATGCGGGCAAGCGCACTCCAACACTCCAGGCCCCTGGGGGTGGCATATATTTATATCCCCGAGCTCCAACACACACTGTTAGCCCAAATATCAATGCCTCAGTATCCAAAAACAGAGATGTCAGTTGGGGCCCCGATGATCCAGACATGCTAATACTGTGATTTACTAACTCCATTGTAGCCAGACATCAAGGTTTGCAAAATATCTCTGGCTATTACGCACAGGCAGGAATGCAAACGATGTATAAGTGTGTGCGCGCGCGCGTGTGTGTGTGTGTGCCGCCTATATGTGTGTGTGTGTGAATACGACTTATGTTCAAGTGTCCACATATGGGAAGGCTATTAAAAATCTGCTGCGTTATAACTCTATTAGACATTTTGAAGTAAGTGATCAGAAAGGCGCTGTGGGCGCAGCAGTCCGCCTCCTGCACAACCACCAGATGTTCTCGTAAATCAAAAGGTTGAGCTGATGATAATAATGGCCCGATTGAATTGAAGACTCTTAAAAAATGACTAGTTGTAAAAAAATCTGGCATATGCTTATGAGAATCGGCCTTATGTCTAACAATATGCTCTCTAGTCGACATAAAAGGAGACAAATATAGATGTTAACTATTTAAATATGTAGACAAGATTCCAGCAGAGTGTGATTTCTTTGATATCCACATAAAAGAACAATGTTATCGTGAGTGTGTATATTTAAACAGCTTCTAAAACATGCAAGGAAATATTTCACCGCTACTAAACTGAAAGAAAATGCAGATTTAAAAGGGAAACCAGGGGCGAACAATGAGAAATAGGTATCACTACTTGTAATAAATAACAAATTGGAACAACTTCCTATTGATGACCTCTCCCATTAACTTTAGGTCACTAGAGGATCTATCAAACACAAATCTCCCCGCTCACTGTTTCTGGTGCAATGTTGCCATCTAGTGGCCTTAAAGAGACATTGCACGACTCAATACACTTAACTTCCACTCAGGTCAGTTTTATTCTCAAATGTAGCACTTGCATAGTAAGTAGCATGCAGGTAAATGCCATCTGTCCAAATTGCTGTTTCTCTGTGCCTATTAATTAACGTGGTCAACAAATGTGAACAAGGTCAATGAGACTGTAGATTCATGAGAAGAACAAGTTGGGAATGTAATTGGTGTTGTAAGCAACATCAGAAGGTAAACTATCAGAATAAATCATGTGGATTCAGTTTAACCCTCGAGCTACCAACTAGCATCAGTTGTAACTCCAAGCATGTAAGGTTGATGTTTTAAGGGGAATTTACCAGAATTAACCATTTATCTTGTTCTGAGTGAATACTTCTTTATTTTGAGTTAAGTTTTTAAGTCAGTGATGTGCTCAAGTTTTCAGTTTCTGTATGGATAAGTTATCCGGTCATTATTCAGTGAAGGCCGAAGACGAGGTTCAGCCCCGTTTGATTTCAAAATGACTAAAACATGGACCTTTTTTGTTTTTGTTTTACCATACTAAATATTTTAATTGTAACAAATTATATTGTTCCTAATGAAGAATTAATACAATTTTACGTATTTTATGATTTTCAAACTGACTGAGGATTTATTTTGATTGGTTTAACCTCTTTGGCTTGTGACCCCTTCAGCATGAAAAAGTGTCTACTTGCAAATCCTTGTCACCATTTGTATTTGTCTTGTGATAGATTTAGCCAGAGACACATTTTGTTATACTACATATTGTTGTATTAATTATTTTAAGAGGCCAAACAGACATACATTTATTCAAGAATCAATTAATAAAAAATTAAAGGAAATTCTAAAAAAATAAATAAAATAATAATAATAATAATACTAAAAAAAGACCATAGCTTTTATTCTTACTAAATGGAAATACAGTATTTCTTCTGTAATGTGTACTGAGGCGCCTGTGACTTGACTGTGTAAAACAACTGAAAATCCCTCATTGCTTTGGTTAATTAGACTTAACGTTTTGTGAAAATTCAAACTGTCAAAGACAGCTAACGTCAATTCTCACATTTGTAGAAACATGCCATGGCCTTACCTCATCAAACTTTGGAGCTCTCTATTGACCACATTTTTTCTATCTAACTGAAGTTATTTCTTAAAAAACAAACAAAAAAAAACAACTTTTCTCTTTAGTTTTTTCCTTTTCCATAATGTCCAAGATGACTTCTGTTCAGCTTTTCAACAAGAGGAGCTCAGTGTGAAAATGGCCTCATCAGGACTAGGAATCCCATCACCATTAAACATGCTGTGTTCTGATAAATATGAAAAAATTTGATTTCACATTGCACCCTTTGGCCTATATTGATCAGACACACTGTGTGTTCTTTCAGTGAAGCCATTTGGCTCATGGGAGAGATGCTGAACACACTAATTTTTTATAGTGATACTCACATTAGTTCATTTATAAAAAAACAAACAACAACAAAAAAAACCAAACCATACGATTAATCAATAATTAACAACAAAAACCATAAGTAGCTATAAAGTTGCCAATACACATTTTACTATTCACTATTTAATATCAGAGATCAACATACAGATAAATGACCTTACATGGATAAGTGCCATAATCTGTTATTTGATTTATCGGCGTGATTTAGATGTACACAGATGTAATGTCAGGATTTTTACTGTCAACAGTGCTGCATGTCTGACAGCACTTACAGTGGCTCGCATTGTTCCATTTGTACAGGGGGAAAATGGAAAGACAAAAGTAGAAACATTTCCCAAAAATGTGCCCCCTGTAATATGAAGCAAACAGCTAAAATTCAAAGGTCAGTGGTGTAAAGTTTAACATATGTGGTATGTCGGCCCTGAAAGTGCTTACATCACTTAACCGCTTCTGCTTTTTATGACAGGGAAGTGAAGAGAAGGTTAACCACAATCACCTGACCAGCCAAGTGAAGGACCAATACTGGGAAGAGTGGCAATTACTATTGTGTAGCTGTCATGTTGCTTACTTGGGCTTTTCTTACATGTGACATGGAATTTTGGTAACAAACCCATCTGTGCAGTTTACGATTAACTGTACTGGAATTTCACATTGTTTGGATCAGCTTTTTAATACTGCTAATAATAATAATAATAATAATAATAATAATAATAATAATAATAATACTAAGTGGATTCAGCTTCTTTTCAAAGCAGTTATTGTGTTTTCATTAGCAGCCACAAAAGGCACACAATTAAAGTTGAACCTCTTTTTCCACAGTTTACATTGGATTTAATATGTGAAAAACCTCTTTAAGACCTGTAGTCATTTGTCATAAGAAATACAAATTTAGACTATAAAGCAACATTTCTCATCTTATTTGCATCTGGTACATTTAGTTATATAACACTTATAGTTATAGTTAGAGTTATATAACACTCATGATTGCATGATTTTATATCATGTTTTGATTGTCTTACAATGTTTCCCAGCCTGGGAAAGAGTTGTCATTATTTTTGGTTGAGTTTTGTTCAGTCAAGGTAAAAATCTTTATCAAGTCTTTTCACTCACTTGATCAGAGGATCCACAAATGGGTCCCTGGTGAATATGGTCACCAGTTAATGGGATAATGGGATTTCAAAGAAAAACAATTGTTTCACAAAATTTATGCTCTAGATTTGCTCATATTTTTCTGTTTGGCTTTTCTTGTGAGACACTGGTTACTTTCAGCACTGTGGACATACCCTGTGATGGGCAGTCAAAAGTCAACATCACTTTATTTTCCAAGGGTCACAAGCCAAATAATCTTAGCAAGCTGTAGCTACTAATACTAGGTGCAATGTCAGTATCTGCCAGTGATAAATAACTAAATAAAACTAAATAAATAAATATTGTAAGGTTAAGAAACACAAACACTTCCTCTGCTGTGAGAAGAAAAGGTTACTGGCACTCAAGTTTAAAGTAATGACTAGTGTTAGCTAATAGCAGCAGACACATCAGCCCCTTTTGTGGTTTAGAGGTCAATGTCTTGCTGTAATCATTTAACCATCGATATTCTGTGGGTGAGTTTCCCCTCATAGGGATGTTTGAAACAAAGTATATTGAGGAACTGTGTCTGAGCTCAGTTTTCAAATCACAGAGTATTCAAAAGGTCTTATATACCATTTCCTTATTAGTATATAGGCTGAAATTTCACAGATTTTTATCAGCTAATCTGATGCAAAAATTATAGTTGTTCACCACTGTTTTTTTTATAATGTAAAGCCGATGCAGGATACGGTGTATCTCAAAGTTGCAATTTGGCGGTACATCTATCCAATCCATAGCTGCACGCAGGAGAATGACAGAGAGACCAAGATGGAGGGAGGACACAACATGTAAACTTTGCTGTGTCTCTTGGCAGGTGACAGAGGGAAAACCACACGCGCCATATCGTCATACTGAGACCAGCCATCAGTTCAAAGCTAAACAAGTTCTGTGATTTATTGTAGAGTATAAGAGGAGAGTTTCCACCAAGAGCCACACTCTCACCCAACTGGTAAGGGAAAAGCCATAAAACTGATGACTTTTAAAACCTGATGTTTGTTGGTGAAACAACAACTGATGTTTCTGTTCTCTATAAAAAGCTACAAGGCCACTTTGAGTGTACATCACCAATCTCGTTAAGCTGCTGAAAGGGATGTAAGAAAATTTGGTGCTCAAGAAAACTTTGCACAAAAGTACGAATAAGGTCTTCAGAAACACACTTCACATTCAATTTCTTGAATCACATCTTCCTATTATGGCCAGGACAAGGATGGAGTTGCTTAATTTTAATTGTGAAACAAATGAAAATCCAATATTCAGTCATTATATTACAAACTCCAGGGAAAGATAAGATAAGATAAATAGGGCTCTATGAAAGCATATAAATAAATATAACAGATTGTACAATGTTTGGATTCTTGCTCTTCTGTTACTCTTCCTTTTTGTTTTACTGATGTTTGTTCTTCTTGTTCTTCTTATCTCTCCTCAATCTGTAATGGAACACAAATAATAAGGAAATTAGTCTGAAATAACTGCAACCATACTCCAAGCAAGGAAGCAAAATGTACTTATATAGCAAGTTACAACCTTTTAGCTTGATGCATCAAACATGATGCGGAACTTATCTTATGACAAATGCAAAACTCACATTTATTTTTACAGAATTTTCACTGAATCCATCAAAACACGCCACAGTGAGCAGAGAAATGTCTTTTTTGTAGAAACCAAGAGGCAAAAGTACCAAAAGAAAAGACAGGTAGAGAAAGCTGAAACACTAACGCTACGAGGCACAAAAGACAACATGGCAGCTACCAGGAAGGCATATAGAGTTTGGTTTGTAGGCAGAGGGAGAGTCACATGACTGGCAAAAGGCAGGGACACACAGAGTACCACCTATGGGGAAAAAGGGGAGAAGTAAATGTCCCATGATACACCACTGGGAGGCACTGACCTTAAGTGGCTCCACTCGCTCCACTGCGAGTTACAGAGAGCATCCTTAGCTCGGACACAGACAGTCTTGGCCTTGCGCTTGACTTCAAACTGACAATTGTCTGTCAAGTTCTAAAAAAAAAAAAAATATATATATATATATATATATTACATATCAGTCACCCATGTTGTTCAATATTTACACTTCCTCAGGATTTTCTTTATGCAGTTCAGTTATGAAGTGAGGAATTTCCTGTCCTTTGATGCAAATACTTTGGTGTAAATTTGAAATGTTGTTACTTTCATTCCGCTTTGGGTCCTTCATATAAAATTTGCATTACAATTGGTAGGTTTCTCACCTTTGTCACTTTTGAGTCAGTGCATGGGTTGTCACACCTTTTGCATCCCCCCTTCAGCTGTGCAATCTGGAAAGTGAGGGGGAAGTAGGAGTAGGGACTGCTCCAGGAGCTTGGGTAACTCCACTCTATCATCGATCTGTTGAGTTTACTGATCCTCACCTTGTCAGGTTTCACTATCGAGGGTTAAAGCAAAAGATGTGAGTGACATGAAAACAAGAAACAGAAACAAATATGAACAGGTGAAAGAGAACACTGTGTGCGGAAAATGTCTCCCAGATATGTCTCACCTATCTCCGACAGGTAAAAGTGTTTAGAGTAGCTCTCCACCAGGAAGTGCTGAGTCTTCACATGGACAGTGACGTGGATCCGCTGGCTCTCCTCAGCGAAGGGGCAGTGCTGCTCGTCCAAGCAGGAGATCCCGTGTCCGCTCTTGTCTACTGAACAGCTGAAGTTACTTTGACCTGTGGAGCATCTCCAGCGCTGGACACTGGTGTCCAAAGTACACCATGTCTCATTTTCATCAGAAACACTGCATAAAATAGAAGAAAGTAAGTTTTTTTAATTATATTATTTATATAATTAATTATATATATATATATATATATCTTGTAATTTTGGCTAGAAGCTGTAACAACTTCTCAAGGTCAAACAGGTGAAGGAGCACATACTGATAAAAGTACTGCAGAAGCAAAAACATCTATCATTCAAAAGCATTTGAAGCTCTATTATTTTTATATATCTGATCTGAAGACATGAACATGACCTTCAAAAAACATAAAAAGTACTTTGTTATGGTTCCTTTCATGAGGAGGTATTTATGGATGTGGCTGTGTAGTCTCAGCTCTGACATGAGTCTGAACACTGTGTTATTACTGGAGAGGGACACAGAAAACATTTCAGTGGTTTATGAACTTACCGCCAAGCTTTGATAAATGCTACACTGCCAACACGACTTCTGTGCCAGGTCCAAGAGCAGTGGAACTCTCCGTTGTAATTTTGAGCAGAGCACTTCAAATAATCTTCTAATGAGAAAAGTCACATAAAGATGCAGAGACAGACACACAAAAACAAACATGAGGCAATTAGTCAGTTGAAACACTTAAAAATGATCCCAATTCTAGTGATCGTTTAACCGTGACAGTATGCCACCTTAAGTAAGTAAGTACCTTGATCATTTTTCACGAGAATCTTCCTCCTATTGGTTTCGTCCTCTTGGATCAGGACCACAGTGTGATTGATGAGTGATCCGTCTTTGTTGTGGCAGGTGTAGTTGCCTCCTCCCAAGCTTTCCTCCAGCTGCACTAAGTATGAGTTCCCTCTCTGTGCTTCCTCTACTCCGTTCTTCTTCCAAACAATATCCTCACCCTTATTGTCTCTCCTCATCACTTCCTCTGGAGACTCCAAGCAGCTCAGGGGTTGCTTACCCAAAGAGCCATTCACCTCCACAACCAGAACTAGGAGAGGACACACACACACACACACACACACACACACACACACACACACACACACACACACACACACACAGAAAGAAATTTAAAAAAAAGCATATTGTAATATTATTTGAACTTGGGAGTAATATATTCTCATAGAGATCTAACATACTGTTGGGGAGCAGAGTCCAGTAGCTCCTGGGATTTTGACAGCCAACTTGTAGGACTGCAGAAACGATGATGCTGAAAACAAGTAAATTCATCTGAATAATAGAGAGAAGACAGGGAGAGACACAGTGGTGGTGGTGGCAAGGACGTGAAGAGGGATAAGTAAAAGAAAAAAGGAGAAGAAAAAGAGGACAGAAGAAGAGAAACAACAAATTAACTGAATCACTTCAGACGTGAATGTCAAATGCACACTCTCAAAGACATTACATCTTCATTTCACTGGACCAAAAGATGTTAAATTGCTGCTGTAATAAGTCAATACTATAATTTAAGTCCATAAATTCAACAATAAAAAAAAAACATTTCAAAGTAACAGTAAATTAACAAATAAAGCAAAACCAACATAACAGCAATTTGCATCAATATAGTCAAAAGCAAGAGATATTACTCATACCCTATACTAAAGTTACAAAGAAATTCAAATGATGTTTTCCTACCTCAAGATAATTTTTAAATAAAATGCATTGTACAAAAAAGAAAAATAGAAAATCTTCAGGAACTGTTTTCATGATACTGACAATTCCCATCATGTTATCCTGAAAATATCATGATAAAAAGGTGAAACCAGCTGATTAGCAGTATGATGTCTGGATGAGACATATGTTAACATTAATCACACATAGTTAAACCTGCAGCTACACACCGTTCATTTTCTGGATTCACCTCGCAACTTTACTTTAAATGAAGTTAAACAAGTAACCGGTTAACATATCAGTCAAAAGTCATCTTACCTTGTCACCGACGTCCAAAATCAATGGCGATCCTGCGTCTTCTGTCTGACTTTTATGTGAGTGACACACTGACACATTTCAGAGCCAAATTTCCCCACATGGCCCAGAATAGAAAAGTCCAGAGGGACTTCGCTTTCGAGCCGCGCGTCCACATGAACAGAGGTATTCAGTCACCTTTTAACTCACTTCCATTTGTGAGCCTCACGGATTAATGCACTAATGCTTTTGTATGACCCTTGAAACACCGCACACCACACTTGCAGGGGTATTATTGGGCATTTGTGCCCTTTGCAGTAACAGTTGTTTACTAGCTGGTAGTGCTGTTGCCTACCTGTTTGTTTACTTTCATGTGTGCATGGTGCTTCATGTTTCACTTTCAGGACCTAGTCTTTCACTGCCAACTATAAACCGTGGTTGAGACCAGCAGATTAATACCAAGCATTCTGAAATTTCTCAGTGCCTCTTTGAACTGTCCCCATTACACAGGGGTTTTTTTTTTCTTTTGTCATCTGATTTTAGAGTTTAACACTTCATTTCAGAACAGATATAAAAGATGTGTATATATCCATGCGAACATCCGCGAACCTCCATTGGAAGAAGAAGTTGCCGACTCTACATCTCATTTTAAAAGAAATTACATGCAGGACATCACCCAGTCATTATAATGAGAAGTGACATTAAAAATGCGTTGCATTTCTACGATTCTGAGCCTTAGTTACTAAGTTAGAGAGGAGAACGTATTATAATTGAAAAGAAAAGAAATACATACTTTGGCGTTCTCTGGCAAAACTCTGGAGCTCTCCCAAGAAACCTTTCGGCATTGTCCCAGGGGATTCAGTGGGCCTTTATTTGCTCGTGCCCACCAGCAGCAACAACAGTGAGACTTCCGGCCAAATCTTCAGAATAAAAGGACGTTCCCCACAAACGCTAATAAAACGCAGAAAAACTTCAATTTGTCACAAAACTCTGCAAGTTTTGTATCAATTTTAAGAAATATAAAAGTAGACATAGATTTAAATAATTTATTAGTCCTTTTATGGCACTGTTGTGGTTGTCTTGCCTTCATTGATGTTGCCACATCTTTTTATTTATTTTTTATTTCTCTTCGTTTTGTACAGCACAGATGTTTAGGTTACTTTGGGTTTACAGCTATAGGCTGCTAGAGAACATCATCAGTACTAATGGTATTTTGATGATGTTTTCTGTTTCCCCATTTGTATTCTCAGCCATTCCCCAATCTAACTCTCCATTCATGTTTGAACAATGGGCAGCAATACCATGTGTGCAGTACAGAAAGAGGTGAGGCTGGGAGATTTTTTACATGATAGACTGGAATGGTTGTGGAGATTTTGTTTTCCCTCCTGCTCCGGTGCCAGGTGTGTGTGTGTATTATGTGTCTGTGTGTATGTGTGTGTGTGTGTGTGTGTGTGTGTGTGTGTTTGTGTGTGTGTGTGTGTGTGTGTGTGTGTACATGTATGTCAGATGGGTTTACCAATTAATGATGTTAGTGCATTCCCATTGTTATCTAGCAACATCGTGGGGTTTTGTGAATTATGACAAACACCATTTGTATCTCAGAGAAAGAGGCAACATTTCCATCAAAACAAATCATTTCCCAATAAAGACTAATTACATTAAATTAATTTTGGTTTAGTATTAAAAAAAATAACATGCACACTGTGTACACTGATATGGTGTAACGTCAAGTTATTTCCATGACTAATTCATTTTTAATTTTTGTTTCTGTTTCAGCTCTTTCTGTTTGTTTAATTTATTTTCAATTTCTATTTGATTGCCCAGGAGATTAATTGCTTGAAATCTCAGATGAAATAGTAAAGACCTTGCATGCCTCTTATTCAATAGTCCTCATATTTAGGAACTATATTTGTGATAGCGTCCTATCATATGATAGCATGTTGTTTATTGTGACAGTATCACAGTGATGTCATCAAAACCTGTTAGTCTACATGTCAGTCAGTAGTGTGTGTCATCTGTGGAAATCCTGATATTATAACCACACAAACTTCTCTGAGAAAAATCAACAGGTGGTATGTGGTGTAAAGTACAGTAACAAAATAAACCACAAGGGAACAGGCCAAACATTACATTTATGGAAGATGTAACAAAGTGACAAAGCCCAGGGGACTGTCACCATCATCAAGACTTCCACTGAGAAGCACAACATAAAAGGGAAAACAGGGAAGGGAAGAAAATGAAATTGTTTGGCCAAGTCAAAGAAGAATGTGATGTCCACAGGAGTGATAATACAGCAGTTGTATGACAGAATAATAGAAAGGACAACAAATAAGGTAAAGAAGAAAAGAAAAGAAACATAAGCATGTCAGAAGATGGGACTTTAGCCAACTAGGTAGACTGAATTTCTCATGGTCTGTTCCTGTGTGACTTTCCAACATTAGTTAAATAACAGCTTTTTCTAACAGACCAACAATGGAGCCATGACCGAAGATACAGGTATATTACTCACAAATTGCAACAGTAAATTATTTGCAGAGCAACAGAGAAAGGTGGACCCCAACAGGATGTTTACTAAAAACACTGAAACTATATTATCACAAGTGTCAATTAAGATTTTGAGTAATGCCCTACACTTCATCAGTTTAAAAAGAAGCACACTTTAACTACTTTCCTTTTGTAATTCTACCTTTATGTATTGACTGTTTGGTTTGCGTCCACTTGTTAGATCAGGTTTTGAAGCTTATTAGTTCTTGAGATTGGAGGTTTCTCTCTGTCTGTACTTTCCAGTATAGTAACTACTGCATTTCCAAAATGATCATTGTGCGTGTTCGATTGTGTGTGAAAGTGTGCTGTAGGTCATGTTCGGCAGAAGCATAAACATGCAGTGATGAAATCTTTGGTCTCACTTTTCATGACCTACAGTGTCTGTGGCTGATTTTACATTGAAAGTCAGAGTTGAGACAGAACATAAACTCACGTTCCCTTTTTGTTGCAAGGTGATCAGATGTGTTAGTACGTGTGTGTTTTGGGTATAATATGCACAGACTTTTTCAAGCATGTTGACAAGGTGTTGAAAAATCTTCTCAGTCATTGGCATTTAACACTTCCTTCTGGGGAATTTAGATCCTTACAGCTAAATTTGATAATCTTGTTGAGAATAATTTGAGGAATTGTGTATACAGCCTGTGTTCCTGTCTATGAACAAATACAGGAATCCCATTAAGACACACTGGAATGTACATGCCTTCTTTAAGTGGACGCTTGAAGTACCTTGTCACTTGAATTCTTTTGTAAACGTTAAAAAGAAAACAATCACTTCAAACAGTCACGGTAAATTGATTTGTAATCTAAATTATGGCTAAGCAGTGTAATTTTAAAAATCTACCAAGTGTAAAGTCTGCGAATTAGTCTCAAGGTTTTGTTTGGGGCTCTAAAAAACCCTTGGCCCTCAGCCCCAAAAACAAACTCTTCATACTTCACAACTTTTCCTGATTTAATGAGAATACCTTATTAACATGATTTTGAAGAGATAACATGTTTCAGAGGTCCTCTAAAGAAGATTGTTGGTGTCACATCACATCCTTTCCGTGCATTGGTTTTTAATAAGAAGAGAAAAATAAATAAATGCTACCGGTAATTTATATAATATCTTCTGTGTAGTATTTATGTCTGACCACTAGATGTCCCCAGAGGATTACAGGTGTGTGCCTGTAAAAAACAGAGTAGTTTCGATTTGAAATGAAAAGCTAGTTGAAGTAATAGTTCAGAAGTGACACTTATTAAATCCTTGTGGTTTGGCCAGTTATGCAGTCAGCACAATCTCAGCAATACTATTACATCACTTATACTGTGGCACATGTGCACTTTTGCCTAGTGCAGATTGAGATTTAATTGAGTATGGCTGATGTCCTTGCTCAAGTGTCATAACTAGATGTTCCGCAGCTGTTGAGAATTACACGGCTGGGCAAGAGGCTCTACATGGGCTTGTGATCTGTGGCTGTGCACTGGAATGTCTCCCAGATGCCCCCAAACCGTAACAGCTGGAGTGAAATCAGTGCTATGATCTCATCTGTGAGAGGGATGGAAAGTAGGAAACAAAAGAATACAAGAGAAGACAGTGATGATGTAATGTGTGTGTGCACGTGTGTATGTGTGTGTGTGAGGTAGAGAGAGATGAGGGAGCTGATTGAGGTACAGAAAGGTCATCTCATATAAAGTGGTGGATTCTGCACCCTGATCCACAGCTCCTTCTCTCTTAGTTCCTTCTCTCTTATTGACTGAGCCTGTTGTGATTCTGAGCTACACCAGATTTGTTTTTCAGTACCAACAGACCTCGGTGGCATTTAATTTGTTTTGGTTGGCCTTGTTGAAGCTTAGTTGGTATATGTGTGTGTGAGTCTGTGTTTATGCAAATTCTGTCTGGAATCTTTTGAAATGCTTGTGGGAAAAATGGAGACCAAATTTTCATGCAGATTCATGAACTTTCTCTGACAGGGGGATGTCTGCACTGTAGTTCCTGCTCTTAACATTCCTGTTAGTGGAGAACCATTCATCTCTACAAAGCCAGATTTATTGTGTTAATAACAATGATGTTAAACTGTCAAGTGAGGAATTTACAGTATTGTGCAAGTGTAAAAGCCAGGGGAGTTTGGACTGAGGCACAGTCACAGCGGGTCCAGGTACTGGACTATTTCACTCCCATTCATTTTTCCTGTATTCTGATCCCACGTATGGGACATCTTGAAATTCAAGTTTAATGAACGTGTTGAGTCTTGTTCTTTACTGGATCACTATGCTGTAGCAGAAATATGTCTTCATCTGTTTTTGTTTTTCACTGTCCATTTTTGTTGTTAGTTTTTTTTTTATTTGAAGACATTCGCAGTGAAGTAAAGTGATCAGAATGTTCCATTATTTTTCATCCATGCTGATCGCAAAACAACACTAAGAGCCTGCAGCCATATGTTAGCAGCTCTGTGAGGCTGCACTTACAGCGATGCTTTGAGATAAATGCTAACATCGGTATGCTAACAAGACATGTTCAGT